ATAATAATAAATAGAATAAAAGTAATGGAAATGTAATAATAAAAATAAGAAAGTAAAACAAATAATGTAATAATAATAAATAGAGTAAAAGTAATGGAAATGTAATAATATAATAGTAATAATAATAATAATAATAATAATAATAATAATAATAAATAGAGTAAAAGTAATGGAAATGTAATAATAACAACAATAAAGTAAAAGAAATAATGTAAAAATAATAAATAGAGTAAAAGTAATGGAAATGTAATAATAACAATAATAAACAGAGTAAAATAATAAATGTAATAATAACAATAATTATAGGGTAAAATAATAAATGTCATAATAACAGTAATAATAGAGTAAAGTAATGGAATTGTAATAATAATAGTCATGTAATAATAATTGTAATGTATTGTTGAAGGCTTTCATGGCTGGAATCACTGGGTTGTTGTAGGTTTTTTTCGGGCTATATGGCCATGTTCTAGAGGCATTCTCTCCTGACATTTCGCCTGCATCTATGGTCAAGCATCCTCAGAGGTATGAGACAGTCCTCACTACCTCTGAGGATGCTTGCGATAGATGCAGGCGAAACGTCAGGAGAGAATGCCTCTAGACCAAAAAACCTACAACAACCCAATAACTGCAATAGTAATAAATAGAGGAAAACAATACATGTAATAAAAACTGTGAACCCTTCCATCAAAAGCCCTCTTCCTGCTCCCTGGATGTAGGTGAACTAACATTCCCAAACTCAAGGTTGGAGGGTCCTGTCCACGTGGCGGAGGGTGTTGTGCTCCATCCGCTACGTGGAAGATGGAGCACGGCCAGGGGCGGCTGGTCCATTACGCGAAGTAAGCGGTCGCAGAACACTTTTTTTGCCAGGGGCGCAGAGGCGCCTCTGTAAATGCCCCTCGACCGCCACTTGAGGAGCGCCCCCTCAGCTCACAACAGCCCTAGCAGTCCGGGGGGAGCCTCGGCTTTCTTGCCTCGCTGCCGGGCGATCCTCTTCCCAAAGGGGCCGGGCCCTTGAGCCTCGCCTAGCCCCTCTCGTTCCTGCTCCACCCGGCCACCGGGTGCGCGAGCAGAGCCGGCGCTCAATCGTTCTCCATGTTCGATCCCTTCCCCATGACCGGCTCCCTTTCCTGATCCCCCGGCGCTCCACCCGCCTCCTCTCCTCTCCCCAATCCGCGGGTGGGCCAAGGGGCGGAGCCGCTGTGCCTGGCCCACTTCAGGTCCGGAGGCGTGTCTGAAGACCCCAGCGTGCGCACCAAAATCCGCCTCTTCTCCTGACTTTCTCTTCAGCCATTGGGACCAAGAGAGAGAGAGAGAGAGAGAGAGAGAGACCCTCTGGCTGGAGGTATCTCCCACCTCCGCTCCCTCCTTTGTTTTTGTGCCTACCTTCAGGAAAGGTGGGCATCTCCACCTCTCTCTCTCTCTCTCTCTCTCTTGGTCCCAATGGCTGAGGAGAAAGTCAGGAGAAGAGGTGACTTTTGGTGCACACGCCGGGGTCTTCAGGCACGCCTCCGGACCCAAAGCGGCCAGGCAAGGGAGCAAGTGCGGCAAGTGTAGTTACTGGGATGTATAGTTCACCTACAATCAAAGAGCATTCTGAACTCCACCAATGATGGAATTGAGCCAAATATGGCACACAGAACTCCCACGATGAACAGAAAATATATATCAGTGATTGGTTGGGGGGGGGGGGGGGCAAAAATACTGGTTTGCTTACAGTTGAAAATTACCCACAAGCCTCTGAGCACGGCACCAGATGGGACGATGGTATTGCTTAGTCAATCCATCTGCTTTCTATACTAGGAGTGACACAAAGGGTAGTAAGAGCTCAGCTGCAAGAACAGTATGAGTAAACTAGCAGACCACAGTCTCTCTTGGGGCAAGCCGGTCTATCTCATGTATCACATGCAAGCCGGAAGTATGGTCATTGGCCACGATCCAGGTACGTCTCAGTGCTTCTGGCAGGATGGAGAGCACATGGTGACTTGGAAGTAAATTCCATTGGGATGAATGTGCCAAGATGCTTTCCAATGAGTCAGATCAATGGTCCAGTTATGATTGGTATTGGCTCTCATATTCCCAGAATTGGGAATGATGTGGCCCTCCAAGATACTGTTGGACTACAACCTCTGGCCCTTCTCCCCATTGAATAAGGGAGTTGCAGTTCCATAAAATCAGGAACGGTTGAAGTTCAACGGGGACAAATGCAAGATACTCCTCTTAGGCAGGAAAAACGAAATGCAAAGATACAGAATGAGGGACGATGATACCTGGCTCGAGAGCAGTACGTGTGAAAAAGATCTTGGAGTCCTCGTGGACAACAAGTTAAACATGAGCCAGGAATGTGATGTGGCGGCAAAAAAAGCCAATGGGATGTTGGCCTGCATCAAGAGGAGCCTAGTGTCTAGATCTAGGGAAGTCATGCTCCCCATGCTCTATTCCGCTTTGGTTAGACCACACCTGGAATATTGTGTCCAATTCTGGGCACCACAGTTCAAGAGAGATATTGACAAGCTGGAATGTGTCCAGAGGAGGGCGACTAAAATGATCAAGGGTCTGGAGAACAAGCCCTATGAGGAGCGGCTTAAGGAGCTGGGCATGTTTAGCCTGAAGAAGAGAAGGCTGAGAGGAGATATGATAGCCATGTATAAATATGTGAGAGGAAGCCACAGGGAGGAGGGAGCAAGCTTGTTTTCTGCTTCCCTGGAGACTAGGACAGGAACAATGGCTTCAAACTACAAGAAAGGAGATTCCATCTGAACATGAGGAAGAACTTCCTGACTGTGAGAGCCGTTCAGCACTGGAACTCTCTGCCCCGGAGTGTGGTGGAGGCTCCTTCTTTGGAAGCTTTTAAACAGAGGCTGGATGGCCATCTGTCAGGGGTGATTTGAACGCAATATTCCTGCTTCTTGGCAGAATGGGGTTGGACTGGATGATGGCCCAGGAGGTCTCTTCCAACTCTTTGATTCTATGATACTATGAATATAATAATAGGCCATAGGTTTTTTAATCCTTGTGTGTTATTATTGTTTATTGTTTATATGTGATTTATATTACTTGTATTGTATTTATTGTTTTTGTTTATTGCTTTTTTTTGTTTTTATTGGCTGCCATTTAGCTTCCAAGCACAATTCAAAGTGCTGGTGTTGACCTAGAAAGCCCTAAATGACTCCGACCGTTTACCTGTCTGAACGGATTCTCCCCTATGAACCATCAAGGTTATTAAGATTTTCCGGAGGGGCCCTGCTCTTGGTCCCACCACCTTTGCAATCGCGTTTGGTGGGAACGAGGGACAGGGCCTTCTCGGTGGTGGCTCCTCAACTTTGGAACTCCCTCCCACTAGAGATTAGATCTGCTCCCTCCCTCCTGACCTTCAGGAAACTAACGAAAACCTGGCTTTGGAACCTGGCATTTGAGGATTGAGTCAATAACCTTCGTCCATTATTATTATTATTATTATTATTAATAATAATAATAATAATAATAATAATAATAATAATAATAATAATAAATCCAGCACTGCAAAGCTAGGCTACTGTTCCTGAGAATGTGCAGAGGATCATAGAAATATAATAATAATAATAACATAGAATAACAGAATAATCTATACATATAATAAAAGTCAAAACTTGTATGCGGCGGATGTGTGGCGGGAGGAGTATGTGCTAGCGTTCTGATTGGATGCCGCTGTGGTGCTATTTGCATATGGTCTCTGATTGGCCAGCTTCAATAGGAGCCCCTGGAGGAGAAAAGAGTTCATGACAGAAACGGGGACATGAGAAGGATATTTGCATATGGTCTCTGATTGGCCAGCCTCAATTCCAAGATTCCGAGATGACGAAGAGAGGAAAGGAAAAGGCCAGAGGGAGCTGAGTCAGAAAATTACCAATACAGACCAAACTTGGCAGACAGAGCCCCCATGACCCACTCTACATCCTACTGCAGTTTGGAGGAGGATGAACCATGGATGATGGGACTTGCGGTACCATCACTCACATTCTGAGACCGCTGTTAACCTCATCCAATGACTGATCAGGACCAAACTTCGCACATAGACCTCTCATGACCCACTTTACATCCTGGTGTGGTTTGGCTGGGGATGGACCATGGATTATGGGACTTGCAGTACCTTTGCTCAATTCTTGAGACCACTCCTCCAATTACCGATAAAGACCAAACTTGGCACACTGAGTCTCCATGATGCACTGTACATCCTGGTGCGGTTTGGAGGAGGATGCACCATGGATGATGGGACTTGCAATACCTGCACTCCCTTCCTAAGACCATTACAACTGCCAACAATGATGGATCAGGACTACCATTCACACAGAGAGCCTGCATGACTCACTCTACATCCTGGTGCGGTTTGGAAGAATTTGACAATGGATGATGGGACTTGCAGTCACTTCACTCACTTCCTGAGACCACTGAGACCCTCGCCAATGACTGATCAAGACCAAACTTGGCACACAGAGTCCCCATGACCCAATCTACATCCTGGTGCACTTTCGAGGAGGACAGACCATGGATGATGGGACTTCAAGTACCTCCACTCCCTTCCCAAGACTGCTGCAACCCTCATCTAATGTCTGATCAAGACCAAACTTGCCACACAGAGCCCCCATGACCCACTCTACATTCTGGTGCAGTTTGGAGGAGAATGGACCACAGATGATGGGACTCGAAGTACCTTCACTAACTTCCTACGAGCCATATAAATAACTGATAAAGACCAACCTTGAGACACAATTCCATTCTCAAATAACCCGGGCAGCGCCGGGTCCCCCAGCTAGTAGATAATAAGTATGGCCCATGAGGTCTCTTCCAACTCTAGGATTCTATTATTCTAAGTCGGGTTCCTTCCACCCAGCTGCTTTGCACTGGATTATCTGGCAGTGTGGACTCTGACAATCCAAGCAGATATGGTGGGATTGTTTGCCTTGGTCTGCTGGGTCCTGTGTCTGCGTGGAAGGGCCCTGTGAGGAAGAATTCCACAGACTTACCCGGAGGGCAGAGAGGTCGATGGTGTCGAGGCTGCGGGCGGCGCAGTCGCTGGCCATGGTGGGCGCAGGGCGCGCCTTTGGGCACGGATGGGGGGACCCTCTTCCAAGACGGATTCAAGCGGGTTGACAGTTGCAAAGCGGGGGTTTGAAGGGGGGAAAAGAAAGAGGAGAAGCCGAGGATTGTCCCAACTTTTAGTTCAAGCCTTTCGGCCTCGGGAAACCGCGTTAACGTGGACTCTTTTTCCTCCCCTTTTTTCCTCCTCCTCCTCCTTTGGGCACGGATGGGGGGGACCCTCTTCCAAGACGGATTCAAGCGGGTTGACAGTTGCAAAGCGGGGGTTTGAAGGGGGGAAAAGAAAGAGGAGAAGCCGAGGATTGTAGCAACTTTTAGTTCAAGCCTCTCGGCCTCGGGAAACCGTGTCTGCGTGGGCTCTTTTTCCTCCCCTTTTCCCCTCTTTTTGCGCTTTTGGAGATCTAACGGTCCCTTCTTCTCCTTCTCAGCCTTCTTTGCCCATGCTGGCGAGCTCTCGGCCT